TCCTCTCAAGTATTCTCCCTTTGGCTTCCATGGCACCATTTTCCTGTTTCTCACTCACCTCTCTAGCTCCTCTTTGTGTGTCTCCTTTCCTTCCTCCCACTTACTGTTCCTCCCAGGCCCTCTGCTTAGATCACACTTCACTCTCAAGTTTATCTCATCCTTGACTTATATCTGCCAGTAATTCTGACACCCATAACTCTGACCCAGAGCTATCTTTACCAAATAAGGTCTGAACATGCATACTTGTATGCCCCCAAATTACCTCATATAGGTAATTTCATCTTTCTCTTCCAGCATTCCCTTGTTCAATCACTGGGCTCATCATCTTCCTGGCTGGCCCAGCCAGGCACTTGGTGTCACATTTGCCTCTTCCCTCTTCCTCAGACCTTGTATTACTCACTTTCCCATCTCTAGGACAAAATACCTGATAGTCACAACTTAAAAGAGTGGTTTATTTTGGCTCATAGTTTCAGTCCATGGTTGGCTGGCTCCAAGACAGAAATGACACGGCAGAAGAGCATGGCAGAGGACAGGTGCTCCTTGCATAGTAGCCAGGTAGCAAGGAGGAACTGGGACAAGAACACACCCTTCCAGGTCACACCCCCAGGGACCTACCTCCAACTGGAGCCCGCCTCCCAACAGTGCATTTAGCTACTGAATCCACCAGTAGATGAATCTGCTGATGACTAGCCCCTGCAAAGGTCCAGTCACCTTGTAAACGCATGAGGCTTTACCAGACATTTTAGATCTGAACTATAACTTTGCTCTCTACCCAATTACTGAACTGATCTCTACTGCCACTAACCTCGTTCTAGCCACCTTCCTATCCCAGACTGCTGCAGTAGCATCAGCCAGCTGCAGCCTTGTTGTCTCTGCTCCCCACAGCCCCTTCATTCCATTCTGCCTTGACATTGTAGTCAAGTCACTTTTTAAAAATGCAAATCTGGGCGTGGGGATTTAGCTCAGTGGTACAGTGCCTGCTTGACAAGCATGAGGTCCCGGTACCCGGAAAAAAAAAATAAATAAAAATGCAAATATGATTATGGCCTTCTCCCCATAAAACTTTTAATCCTAAACTTGTTTTATTTTTCTCTCTCTCCCCCTCTTTTTACAAGCACTTGACTTATTTATTTTATTTTATTTTATTGGTCTTTTTGAGACAGGGTCTCGCTATGCAGTCCAGGCTGGTCTTGAGAATTATATACTTTAAAAGGGTGAAATTCATTGTATATAAATGATGAAGTAAGTCCCTGACTTATTAACCAGTTCTGTTTCAAGAGAATTTTCTAAAGTTGGATTCATTCTTAAGTCCAACATAAGTGAGTCTTACATACTGTACCTTTGACACAAATGTGGTTTATATTGCTTTGCCCCTCCTAGCAGTCCTCTCCACATCACCACTGCTTTCCCCTTGCTTCTGGACATCCTGGGCTCTGACTGAGCACTGTAGTACTGTATGCTGTTGCACTGTACAGTAAGCACACAGCAGCATAACTGTGACAATGTCCAGCAGACACTTGAGCTACCACCACAATTTGTTCACATCTACAAGTGTTCATAATGCCAGGTCCATTCATATTTGGGAAAGTTCACAACTCAAATGTTTGTAGGTTGGGGACTTACTGTATATCTTTTTTTTTTTAAACGCAGAAACTTACCTGAGCCTCCCAGGACTTACAAAGCCTCCCAGGACCTGGCCTGGCCTCCACATCTTCCACTGTTCCCCTCTCCTCTCGTATCCCGCTCCTCTCAGCAACACGCTGCACTTCCTTCTGCTTTTGAGCTCCCCACACCCTCACCTCTAATATTTGCTTGTGCTATTTATTTTTTGCAGGAAGCATTCTGTCTTCTACCTGTCCCTTTACAATCTCCCTCCTCTTCAGTTAGCTAACTCCTTGTCCTTCAGGCTCAGTCTTGCCTGGTCTCCCCAGAGGGGATTAGCTGTTCCTGCTATGTTCCTGAGGCATTTCATACTTATCTCTTTTGTAGCATTTATTACATTTGCCCATTTATGGATGTTTATTGAATATCCATACTGGGCACTAGGCTGGGTGCTGGTTGTTTAGTGGCAAGTAAGAGTTATGATCCCTGTCCTCATGGAGTTTACAGTCTAAGAAGGGAGAAAGATGGACATGAAAAATTACACTAAGTATTTTAATTATAGGTAACATGTTTCAGGGCATGTTGAGAGAGTATGAGAAGAGACTTAATATAATTTGAAGGATCACAGCAAACCTCTGAGAAAGTGACATGTGATTAAGCAACTTTAACAGGAATTAGCCAAATGATGAGTGGAGGGTGGGTGGAGTGTTCCATCAGAGAAATGAAAAGGCTGTAACCAGAAGGAGCTTGGAGGAGTTTCACAAACTGAAACGCCAATGTGGGAGACAAAGAGGGGACTAGAGAGCCAAATCATGCAGGTTCTTGTGCAGATCCTTAGGCTAGAGGTAGAACAGCTAAAAAGTTGATGAACACAAGGACAAAATGGGAAAACAGGAGACACCTGAAACTGAGGATTGGTGAAGTTGCTGTTTCACTAATTGAATATCTCTATTAGCTGAGTGACACGAACCCTTTGTTGTTAAGCTTCAACAGCCAGGCTTCTGTTACATGTACCCACATACCATGGTATACTACAAAGCAGTGGTGGTGAACCTATGGCATGTGTGCCACAGCCAGGTGTTTGTTATCATTGAAAGCTCTAAAAGGTTCGCCTTCAATGATATGGAGTAATATCTGCCTCTTCATACTGATCATTCAGGAGAAGCCTATACATTTCATCTCCCTTACTGTTCTATAGGAGAATCAGTTTATTAGCCTACATATCACTCACTTTCTGCATCTTCAAATAGTGCCAGTGGACAAGTAGCAAGGGACTTTATCTAAATCTCTGACTCTTGAGTTTAATAGGCTTCAAAGAGGTAGTTATGTGTACCATAAGTATTAATTAAGGATTAATAAATACCCGCAAGCATTTATTTATTGCAATTCTGTGCTAGGCACTGCATGGCTATTGAGGATCCAGAGATTATATCATGAGATGATTGAAGCTGGATGCCCACTAAACAGAAGGTCCTAAAGGGCAAAACCTGAGCTGCCCCCAGTAAGGGAGAGACTTAATTTCAGCAGTCTACTATCTTGTTGCTCATCTTACTCTTCTTTACCCCATCCCAACTTTAATAGTCTCTCTTTATGTATTCATATGTCAGTTTTTTGTTGTTATATTTTAGTGCTTTCCATGTGCCTAGAATACCCAGTACTTGGGCTGCATATTGGTATTTTGAATGCCTAATCTTTTTTTAATGGCTAATCCTTGAATTTCAAAATAAGGGTCATTCAGGTTTCAAATGTTTTTGTGCTTTCTTACCACTAAACCTTGGGCTCTTGCTGATCCACCATAGGGCAACTGTTCTCCCAGTATCAACACACTACGTGCTGCTTTCCCAGACTCAGCTGTGGGAATGGATATATTAACCTTATCCCATTGTCGTGATTGGGTGTTATACTCTCAATCCCAAATGATGGAGCCCCTCACTCAGCTTCAAGGCACAACCAGAATAAAACATGGGATGGCAGTAAAACACTTCACACAGGTCATTAACAAAGACCCAAGATTAAAGCTTAGGAATTTGAGCCACGGGGACGCTACCGGTATGACACAGGTGAGGCAGACCATTGAAACAGGTGTTAGGAATCATGGGACCACACTGTAATTTCACTTTTGATATTCGAGACTTTTAAAAGAATTGCTATTTGTATATAAGCATGTATAATATTTCAGGGGTAGAGGGTTGGGCTATTTAGAGGATTTGATGAAAATTATAGTTTTCTCCAAAGTAATACACATCCATGTGCATGTGTACACACACACATATCTGTGACTTGCCATGAGGATAGAAACCTTTTCTATACTGCAGTTTGGTCCTTTATTGTGTCCCGTTTGGATTTACCTTTTCTGTGCATATATTTTATCCCAGAGATTGGGCATGTTTCCTGCAAAGAACATACGCCTCTTTATTACCCCCCAATGATGTATGTATGTACAGACTGGGGCTTGTAGTAAACATTGGCCAGTTTAGTCTTTTGAAGCTGCTATGGTTTACTGAGAACAGGCAGTTTTCAATACTTCATTCTCTACCCAGCCTCCTTCCAACACAACAGAGATCACCACAAGAGGACTTGGACCCTACACTTATGTTCTGTTTACTTTCAGGTTTTAGTTTGAGGCATCATTTACATATTCCTCAGGCAAATATCTACTTTTGGATATTTAGAAAACAAGACAATGCCAAATAAAAAGCTTTATTGCAAAAAGAAATCAATAAGTAATAAGTTAATGCAGGCCAAGAATATACCTCAGCAGCACAGCACCTGCCTGGCAAGCGCAAGATCCTGAGTTCAATTCCCAGTACCAAAAAAAAAAAAAAGTTAATGCAGTCTATTATATTAAAAATACTGTAAAAGTTCTGATACCTTTATTCTTTCCTTGGCTCTGTATCGCACCCCATACACCCACACCTGTAATCAGAATCCCTATTTGCTCCACCCTACAAGTTACTTCTCAAACTTCACTCCCTTCCTGACATGTGCTTGTGGAAAAAACTAAAAGCAGAAGTAAATCTAATGTTAACAGAATGGTGACAGTGTAGTTTTTACTTTTTTTATCTTTCCCTCCCCACTATAAATCTCAAAGAGCCACCTTCAATCCTAACTTCTTTGTAGCCTGGATTTTTCCCACCTCCAGACCCCTTTCCCTGACTCTGCAGGCAATTACAGCCATCTGGTGGCCAGATGGGGAAATAACAGCATTTTTCCCAAAACATTTCTGGAGAGAAAACTATGTACAGTAGTAATAACTCAGTTTTGGATCTGTGGGAAGCAGTGAAGAAGAAACCTGTAGATGGAGCTTGCAGCACAGGAGCCAAACAGCCTGTCTCTTGCCTCCCAGGACACAACATTCCACCCACTAGTTATTACAGAAGAGTTCCTCAACATCTGAGTTCATTCAGTCAAAATTTATTGAGCAGCTGTGTACCCAGCATCGGGAATACAGTAAAGAACAAGATGGACTAAACTGCCCTTAAGAGCTTACAATCTACTAGCCAACTAGACAGTTACATCCAAAATTTTACAAAGTAAGAACTCTAAAAAATGCATAATGGTGAAGATTTAACAGAAAGTCTTAACCTATCTTGAGAAATTAGAAAAGCCTCCCTGAGAAAGAAACATTTAGGATCAGCTAGGTGGAAAGTGAAAGGAAGGGTTGGTGAGTAGAGAAAAGAGTCTTTGTGAAGCTTCCGAGGCAAGAAGACACATAATGAAATGAGCCCCCCTCCCCAGGGAATGAAGAAGAGTGTTGTAAGATGTGCAAAGTAGACAGGACCTGACACATGCAGGGTCTTTGAATTTAAAACTATTCCAAAAGCAAATGGGAGCCGCTGAGGAAGTTGAGGGAAGCAAGACGTTTTGATTTTTCAGAGTTCAATCTGACACAGTGTATGGAGGGCATAAGTGGAAATGGGAAGAGCAGTTAGGAAATCTCCCAAACAGTCTAGACAACAAATGATGATAACTCAGAGAAGAGAAGATGGATTCCAGAGATATTTAGAGCTAGATTCTACTTGGTTTTGTTTTTTGAGACAGTCTTGCTGTGTAGTTCAGGCTGGCTTGGAATTCAGTATGTAGCTGAGGATGGCCTTGAACTTCTGGCCATCATCCTGCCTCAGCCTCCGGAGTGCTGGCATTATAAGTGTGCACAGCCACGCCCAGCTTCTACTTGGGTATATGAAGAAAGGGCTGTTTCTGGCAAGAGGTACTAAAGCATGATATGTACTACAGAAAAGGGACAAGTTTGGGCAGAATGAGCACATTCCATAGGCATAGACCCTGAGGCTGGCATGAGAGGAACTGCACAGCTTTGATTCTTAAATAGCTTAGGTTTTAGTTGAAGATACACATGAAATCACTGCAAAACTGATTAAACATCACAGTGATTAATTCAGATGATACATGGTTTCCTGAATTCCATGGGACTAGACAGAAGACTTATGCCTCAGTGAATTCAGATACTGCAGAAGTCAACAATGATATCTTCACCTTTGTTCATGCTTCTCAGTCAGCCCCTCAGAAAACTCCCATGCAGCCCACCTAGTATCTCACAGCAACCACCTTCTCTTGCATTGGGGCCTAGGGCCTCTGACCAAAAAGATTTTCTAAACTCCGTGATTTTTTTTCTTTGGTACCAGGAATCGAACTCAGGACCTTGCCCTTGCCAGGCAGGCGCTTGTGCCACTGAGCTATATTTTCAGCTCCCTGATTCATTTTTGCCTGCTGCTGCCAGGAAGTTTACCTGTCTGTTATTCTGAATTCCTGACTCCTGTTTAAGGGAATCAAATCTAGTCCTTGATGGTTCTCATTTGGTCACTAGGAGGGTTTTCTGTCTTACTTAGCTCCTTTCTTTACATGACTTCTATCAAACCCCTCTTTTGGAGTCACTGTTTCACAAAATCAACTGTCTTCCTCACCTTCTCTAAGTAGTAAGGCCCATTGGTGGAAAGAAAAGTGCTTCCTTTTGCTCTCTCATCAAAGTGTCCCAATCTACAAGCCCGTTCCCCACTCTAGTTTTAACGTGAGTCAATAAAGTTGCTCTTTGCATCAAAAAAGTTAGAAATTTTTCTATGGGATTAACAAAGACGCAGCCTTAATAGCTATTGCTTAGCTGACACTTAGCCTTCCCTGCCCCCTCTCTGCCCCTGAAGTACTGTGCTAATTAACTCCAATTTAATAAGTGTGTGATGACACAATAGGCATATGGTTTCCCATTGTGCAACACATCCAGGACAAATCTACATCCCAAATACTTATTCTGAGAGCAGTGGTTACCAATGTTAGCATGAGGTCAGACATTGAGACAGTCTCTTTACACTGAAAAAGAATGTGATCTTTGGAGCTAGCAGACTTGGACTTGCATCCTAGTTACTAACCAATTGCCTTTGTGCTACTTTCTAAGGTTCAAAAGACTTAGCTGTAAAATAGTGTTAGTGGCATTCACCTTATGGGATAGTTGTAATAAAAAGGATATATAAAGCATCCAGTATAATACCTACACTGAATTACCTGATAACATTTATCTTCTTGTGTCTAAGTTGTCCAATACTCTTCTAGAAGGAGATAAGCCAATTCTGCATGGTCAATGATAGTTATTTCCTATTCTTTTTTTTTTTTTTCCTATTCTTGTCTTTGTAAATCTCATATTCCCCACCCATCACATTTCCATCATTGGCAAAAATGTTCTTCCATTCCCTCATCCCCATGTAGGACTTTTCTTACTATTAAAAAGTTCTAGTTTAGCTCCATCTGACTTTCTTCCTTTCCATCTCCCTAATCCAAGATACTATGTCTTCTTGTATCATTCCTAAAGATTAGTTCACTTTTGGCATCCTCCCTAATTTTCTCAGAGCAAATCGTAAAGGAGCTGGGGAACAGGACTCATTCTTCATAAGGGCAAAGGGACCAACCACAAGACGGTTCCAAGAGGAAAATGGAGATCTAAGTCCTGGCACCCCACACCCTGACCTCTTCCTCAAGGCACAGAAAAAGACAAACTCAAAATATGTCTTGAGTCTACAAGAGCACACATCTTTCCTATAGCTCTGTGAGGTCGTCATTGAAGTAGAGCAGTACTGCAGGTGTGTGGAGTGTGCTGTCCATATTGAGATAGTCAAACTCTTCCTCCTCATCCCGGATCCCATTTTCTTCCAGGGTACAATTCATGTTCAGGTTCTTTCCTTCATATTTCCATGTGTAGCTGGCAGCATGTGCATTATAGGGGAGATAGCGGTGCAGAATTTCCCACACTGACTCCAGAGCCCCCACCTGAAGAACATAGAAGCACCCTACCTCCAGAATTCTGGATGGAAAATTCACACACACACACACACACGATGGATGGGGACACCCAGCACCCAGTATATGGCAGCTGGGATCAGAATGTCTCCTTTGACACACAGCAGCTTGGGCACTGTACAGTCCCTGAAATAAAGCTGAGGTTCCAGCATGCAATGAAGTCTAAAAGATGACCCAAAAGGGTCAGAACCATACACACATACACATACACACACACACTCTTCATCCTTACAATAGGGTAGACTAAAAGTCAACTGCTGTCCAAAAGAGCATGTAAGAGCTTCCAAGGATCACCATCACTAAGATGCTGCCCAGTACTTATGAAAGAGTCTCTTGTGCCACTGTGACCTAGCCACTCCTAGAATTTCCAACCCTGGAAACCTGGGTAGTCTGCTTTCCTCAGTCAGTGTAAAGGGAGAATACAGTCTCTACCCGTTATGAGAACCTGGTGGTCTGAAGATCTGCCTGCTTCCCAGTTCCCTCTATCTAACTAAATCTCACCCGGGCACCAAATCTCACCTCCAGGACGTGCTCCTGCGACGTAAGCGTGTTAACAATACAGATGTTCCGAGTCTTGGCAGACAACCGCCCCACTTCGTATTGCGACCGCTTCCACCAGGGCTTCCCGAAATCATTAGCCCAGTCCGAACGCGGCAGCTGAGGCGGGACGTGAACGAAGCGGCCCCGCGGGGTGCGGTACCTCAGGCAACCGGTTAGCGGATCTACGTGCTTGCGGATCTTTAAAACAGGGTTTGGGAACGGGGATTGTCGGAGCAGTCACAATTTCATGGTTCTAGCTGTTCTACTTTTCCTCCCCTTCCCCGCTCTCCCCGTCAACCAGATTCCAACAGAACTCACGTCTTTGGTTTTTGGATCAAACCAGTGGCTGATGTCCTGGCCTGCAACTTCCAAGATGGGTTTCAACTGCAAGTTCCCTAGGAACGAGCAGCCGCTGTCAATGACCGCCACCCAAAACACCCCCACACGCCACACACAGCTCATCCCTGGCCCAAAGTGTGCCCCTTACCCTTATACTCCTGTACCAGCGGGGTTAGGTTGTACACACATCCCAGGTAAGACACCCAAAGGTCTTCAGGCCGGTTATGTTGTGCCACCTCCGCCGGCGTGAAATACCGTCGCCGGAAATACTCAAAGTCTGGCCCAGGCACTAAGCCTCGGCGCTCCATGGCTGGCTCTTTTAAACACCGGGTCCCTTAGCTTGTTTCCTCTCTCCTCAGCACATACTCACTACACCATGCTCCCTCCCATTGAGGCGCTTAGACCAGTGCGTTTACCCGCTGACATGGAAACCATTGTCCTTTTTCAGCCACCGTCAACTAAGATTCAATACTGTATGGGCGAGGAGGATCTTGGGTTGCGTGTGCTCACGGGAAATGTAGTCTGATTCCGCCGTCGTGTATATGAAGTATTGGGTTCCGGGAGAAAACAAACAATGTTTTAATTCAGGGGCCTGGAATACATCGGATACGTAGGCGAAATTATCTCCTACGACAAAAAAAAAAAATAAAAGCTGAGTTGGCAAGATAGAAGAACGTATTCTTGTAAATTTCAGGGTTAGATGTGTAAGAAACTACAGGTAAACCTCTCGCGATATTTTAAGACGTCCGGTGTAGTAGGTTTCAGCGAGCCACAGTAGACGCTCGCGAGATCTCTGCTATTGCCCAAGTGACTATGAATGATCTCGCGAAAGGAAAGAAGTCGGAAGGGCTCGCGAGATCTCAGAACACCCGACCCGAAAGGTTCTCGGGAAGTTCAAGCGCCCAGAGGTGGTCCCTGGGCAAATGGCTGGAGCTGGGCCGACCATGCTACTACGAGAGGAGAATGGCTGTTGCAGTCGGCGTCAAAGCAGCTCCAGCGCCGGGGTTAGCGCAGGCTCGGGTTCAGAGACTGAGGAGCAATCGGGCACCAAGATGGGGGTATGAAGGGGGAACTGCAGCTCCCGACAGCCTCTGGGCTGCGTGTGAGTGCCCCGCGGGATGCCGGGAGCTGTGGTTCCGTGGGCGGCGGGGCGGGCATCCCTGGCTGCGCGGTCTGAGTGCGTTTCCTGCCCCGTGCAGGACTCGGACGGGGAGCTTGAAGACTCTCCGGCTGCGCGTGCCCGGCAGCAACTGGAGGCGCTGCTCAACAAGACCATGCGTATTCGCATGACAGATGGGCGGACTCTAGTTGGCTGCTTCCTCTGCACCGACCGCGACTGCAATGTCATTCTGGGCTCGGCACAGGAGTTCCTCAAGCCGTCGGGTTAGTGCCCAGGGGATGCACACCCATCTGAGAATGTGGCAAGACATTTCCCCTTCAGAGCCTGGCTCTACCCCCTTGCTTTTTAGGGCTGGTTTTTGTGGCTCAGAAGGGGCGGGATCGATACTGGCCTGCTTCACTGATGCTTTGACCCTTCTTTCCAGATTCCTTCTCTGCCGGGGAACCCCGTGTGCTGGGTCTGGCCATGGTACCGGGACACCACATCGTTTCTATTGAGGTGCAGAGGGAGAGCCTGTCAGGGCCCCCATATCTTTGACCACAATCTTGCATGTCTTTGAGACTTCATTAAATTTCTGACAGAAGTGTTTTGTGTGTAACCTGGATGCCAGGGCAGAAAGAGCACGCCCTACCCTTAGAGGAAAGGATTTATCTGAAGTCGGGAGCATTCTCAGTCCTCTTCCCCCAACCTGATATCCTGGATGCCAAAGCTGCTTTCTACTTCGAGGGTGGGGACGGGGCACAGGCTGAGCAGGCCCTAGGGTGGGCCCCTGCATCTTCCCTCCCACGCTGCTGATCCAGGATTGTGGCCGGAGGGGATGGAGGGGGTGTCATCCTGCTCCGGAAGGCCCATTGTTTCCCACTCCGGCCTGGCAACACCGAGTTCCTCTAGGTTGAGGTCAGAGAACAGGCCCGGGTCCCCAAGGAGAGCTGGGTAGGCAGCTGAAACAGGGCCCCTTCCACTCTGTTGATGGGGAGGTGACACAGAGGTCAGGGACAGAACTCTGGAAGTTCTGACCAGGAAGAAGGGGGACTGATGAGATAAGAGCAGGCCGGGAGGCTGAAGGATGCTCGGTCCTGTGCATTTGTACTCTGGGGATGTACCCTGGGGAACTCATTTCCTGCTCCTGGGCACAGGGCAGAAATGATGTTTTCTGTGCCACCCCTCTGTTCACGGAGCACATTCAGTTAAAAAATTCTTTATTGATGTGTGATCACTTCTTCTCTTCCACCTCTGTCTTTCAGAGCTGTAAATACAAGTTGTCCTATTCACTAAGGATGGGAGGGGGTGCGTGTGTGCAGGGTCCAGCCCAGATAGGATGGATGTGAGTAGTAAGAATAAGGTGAGTCTTCTGGGGATATGGGAGTTTTCACTACCATTGGATCCACAGAGGTTGCTCTTCCCCCAAAGGGATGCTAAGACCCAGCTAAAACAAGGATTGAGCAAGGCAGAAGACCCCGGTTTCATTTCAAATCCTTGGGCGGACAGGAGGGGAGGGCAGACTTAAGGTTGTTCTTGAATTGAGGCTCCTCAGACCCAGACCTTTCCTGGTGTGGGAAGAGCCTGGGCCCCTGCTGAGGGCCGGGTTTGCCTGGGCTGCTGGGTGCCCTGGCGCCGCCGATAGAGGGCTCGGCTGTAGGGCACAAGGCAATCAGCCAGGCGGAGGCGGAGGCAGAGGCGGCGGTAGCTGGCCAGGGCAAGCACAAGCAGTGGCATGAGGAGCAGGAATCCGGTGACCAGCAGGGCCGTGAAGCCCGGATCCCGCAGGTGTGCGGTGCAGGGGGGTGCCTGGGAGCGCAGGAACTGTGGGAGAAGAACAGCGGTCAGGCCCAGGCCAACCTGGGCCGCTCTGCCAGGATAAAACGGCCCAGTCGAGAACCGGTGGCCTGCAGACACCAGCGTCACTACACACGAAAACCAACCCACACGCACACCCTGGGATGTATGCTCACCTGGGAGTGGCAGAGAAAGCCAAAGCCCAGCATGGTGACAGCGGGTAGCAAGATGGTCCCCAGGACCAGCGCCAGCAGGAGAAGATTGAAGGCAGCCACCAGCAGATTCTGAGCCGTTACCAGCACAGCGCAGGCCCAGCAGTCCAGGGGGTCCCGGGGTTCTGGGCCGCCGCTGAGAACCGGTCGCTGTGCACCAGGGACATCCGCCATGGCCCGGCTGGCTCCCGCCCGTCTGGACCTCCGCCCTTTTAGCCGGCTTTCCTGCCCCTCCCCCGGCCCAGCCCCTCCCCCCCCATCCTGGAATGTGGCTCTAGGATTAGACACCCCCATCCCAAGGAGAGACCAGAGCGCTCTGGACATTCCACAGGCGCCTCAGGGGAGGGGCTCGCCCTAGCTAGGGTCTGCCCCATACGTCCCCATCAATCACCGTCTTGTGGCCCTCCCCCGTACCCTGCCCTGGTATCACCACCAGCACGTTATCAAACAGGGGTTTTTCTGCTTTTATTTTTAATATTAATATTCTCACACAAAAATCACCAAAAATAAGGATAGGACTGGGAAGACCTCTCTACCCTTGGGGCAGAGAGACAGTGCAGTGCCAGAGGGCGAGACTGTAAACCCCCCACCCCTCCGCAGCCCCAGCGGGGAGAAAAACCCACCCCTGCAAAAAACAAAACCCCAGAGAAACGCCCGAGGTGTCCCTGCCCCAGTGAGACCCTGGCCCTGGGCTGTTTCATACTTGTAAAGAAAAGGGACGGGGGTGAAGGTCCTTATTTTTAAAATTGGCCGGGGGCGGGGTGGGGGGGGAGACGGACAGGGTTCCTTGTCCTCATAGTTCTTTCTTTAAAACTTTTAAATGTATTTATTTATTCATTTATTTATTTTTTACAAAATACCATTTCAGTTCCCACTTCTTCCCCTACAGTACAGGAGTCGCTCACCCTCAGGCAGAGTCGGGGATGGGTCGGGAATGGGGAGACTGGTCCGAGAAAGTGCAGGACGTAGGGGAGGGGAGCGGGTTTGAGCACCATGAGAGCCCGCTGGAGGCGCGGGCAGACGGGCAGGCGGAGACGGCCGGGTCGGGCCGGGCGGACACTGGAGCTCAGGGAAAGCCCGGCGACGGGCGGTCCCGGAGGGCCGGGCAGGATGGCTTAGGGGTGCGGGAGGTCGGGTTTTCCCAAAAATGAATAAATAGAGGTGAGTGGGACTGTTATAAATTAAAAATCAAAAACAAAAAAACAAAAATACAAATCATAACCAAGTGAATAAACAGACACGTACAGGGGTCACAGCTAGCATTGGAAGTAAAAAAAGGGAGGTTCTGGGGAGGGGTAAAGCCCATAGAAAGAATCTCATTAAAAACCTCGGCTGCCACAGTCTATGTACATACACGAGCCGCGTGCATCTGCGCCAGCCGGCGGGCGGGCGGGCGGCGGGCAGGCGTGAGGGAACCCGTATGCGACCCCCGCCGCCGCCGGAGCCTGGTCCTTGTGTCTGTTGCTAGAAAGGCCAAAGTCGGTGAGGGGAGGGACTGGTGGGCGAGGGGCTGCCGGCCCCCTCCCCGTCTCCCTTTTTTTTTTTTTTTTTTCCTTTTTTTCCTCTTGCTTAAAAAAATTTTTTTTCTTAATAAATTAAGCGAGGGGAGCTGCCAACAGGGTGGAAGGGCTGGGCCCGACCCCCTTCCCGGCCACAGGCGGGACCTAGGTCCAGCCCAGGCGTGTGCTGGTGGCCTGCATCGCCCTGTGGGGCGGGGCATCCGGCCTCATCGCGACGTGCTGGCGGGGGCCTGCGGGGAGAAAGTGGGCGCGGGCTCAGCGTCTCCCCGCGCTGGCGGGGCCGTCAGGCCGCCCCCGGCGCCCCCTCCGGAGCCCCTCGCCCGAGGCCCTGGCCCTCACCAGCGTGAAGGCGTCGTAGGCCTGCGCCAGCTCCTCGGTACGGTACTGCTCCAGCACCACCACACCCTGCAGGCCCGCGCTGCGGCGCCGCGCGCAGCCCTCGCAGTGCACCAGGTACGTATTTCGGCTGCCGTTCTCACTTGTCACGAACAAGATATTGAACACCTCCACCTGGTGGGGACAAGGGATGGTCACCGGGACAGCGGGCTGCTACGGCCACCGCTCGAGCAGGGCGGAGGGAAACAGGCGCACTTACATCACATTCATTGCAGTAGTAGGCAGGCTCGTCCTTGACCCGGCCCTGGTAAGCGATTTTTTTCCCTGCCCGCACTAGGCTCTCTCGTTGCACCTGGCAGTGCTTCATGGACTGCAGGAGGCAGAATCTGCAAGGAGGAGGCGGGAGGCTGGAGAGGAAAGGCTGCCTGCAGCTTGGATGCGAGGCCAAACAGGGGCAGACAGGTTGGGACTCAGCCCTTGGGACTGCAGTACCCTAAAACCTGTCCCTTTAGGGGGGCTTTCTTCTTCAAGCCTTGGTCACATTCCCCCATCCAGGCATCCGTAAACTTTAAGTTTTTGTCTATTTAGACCACTGAAAAGTAAAGGTTCTGAGAGCAGAAACTCTGTCAGCTTCCCCAACACAGTAACACTGCGGGCACGTGGCAGCATGGAGAAAGAGGTGAGCAGGGGGGGGTCACACAGGTAGAACAAGGGCAGAGGGCAGGCTGGGCAGAGAAAGCCCCCCCAAACAGGACCCTCACTTGATCATCTTGAACAGGTCGGGGTCGCTGATCTTGACTGTTCGAGCCACGTTCCAGGACACATGAATCATGGGCACAATGGATTTGACGTTCTTCACCTCGTTCCACTCATATCGTTCCAGGGCCAGCTGGTACTGATAGGCTGGAGGCCAGAGGGAATCACTACAGCCACCTGGGTCCAAGCCCCTTCCAGAGCAGCCTGCCACCCGCCAAGCCCACCCCCACCACAGGCCTCACTCCTCGGCCAGGCCCCACCCCTCACTACACCATGAACTGGCCTGACACTCACCAGTGAGGGGCCCCACGTTCCAGGCAATATTGTTGCACCAGCCAGTGGCCTGAACCCAGTGCACAGTCCCCGCGTTAATCCACACGAGGTCTCCTGGGCGCTGCACGAAGCGGTACACAGGGATATTGGAAGCATAGAGGTCGTCCAGGATGGGCCACCAAGAACCTGTCAAGTAGTCCACACCATGCCTGCAGGGTGGGAAGCCAGAGGGTCAGGTGGGAACCTTGGGGACCCGAAGCTGGAGCTGTGACAGGGCAAGGGAACGATGCACACCGATCACAGAAGGCGCTGATGGTCTCCCAGTAGTGCTCATGCACTGCAAACCATTCACAGTCTCCTGGGCCAATGTTAATATTGACAGAGCAGAAATTGTTGTTCTCTTGGTGGCCTGCAGGTGGTAACAGAGAACAACATAGCTGGCAGGATCAAAGCCTGTGGACTTGGCATCTTGCAGTAACCCCAGTCTCTGTCTGCTTCATCGGAATCAACCCCAGCCCTCCAGCCCTCCTCTCCTGCCTGCATTTCCCAGAGCTGTGCTCCAGGTAAGGTATGCACCTGGCGTTCGGCTGCCGGGAACCTTCATGTAGAGCTGCACAGTGTTCATGCCCAGGATGGTGTGGCCCACGTGGCTGAGCATGTTGCCTGTGGATGTTACCCGCATGAAGGCAGGCAGCTTCAGCAGCTCCTGAAGCTGGGGCTTCCACCTGCAGGGGCGAGGGGGCAAGCACTGTGAGAAGGGACCTCTGTGTGTCGGCAGCACCCTGGCCCCAGCTTTGCGGCCCCAGATGCACTGACCGCTTAGCATCAGACAGGTCGATGTTGGTGCCAAATTTGATGATGTGATGGTTCTTCGGGTCTGGTGCGCTGCTGCTGGGGCGAGAGAACGCGAGGCTGGTTGGTGGAGAGCCCGTGGATGAGGAGGAGTCGTGTGGGAAAGCAGCACGATTGTGACATACCTAGGAGGGGTTCCTGTGGTGCTGTCCGGCTCCTCTGACTCCTCATCCTCACTCTCCTTCTCCTCCTGCTCAGCCAGAGTGGGAGGCAGGCTTGGGTCAATGACCCTCCCAGACCTCTCCTACCACAGCCTGACTCCAACAACCAGCCCCCACCCAGGCTTGCCCCTCACCTGCAGTGACTCCTGGAAGGACGAGGCCTGGTACTGTGCATACTTGGCAATGGTGGTGTGGGAACGGGAGCTCTCACAAGGCCAGATCTGCCGCGTGCCGGTCAGGTCCCAGTTCTCATCTGAGGGTTGCTGCACCTGGGTGCGCACCTCCACAGTGTGTTCTCCACTTGCCTCCACCAGCGTCTTGGTGGAGAAGAGGCCCAGGTCTGCAAGGGAGGGTAAAGTAGGGCATGAGGCAGAGGCAGAGGCAGAGGCAGACGCAGACACAGACGCAGATGCAGACACAGGGGCACAGGGTTAGGACCTGAGGATCCAACTCATTCCTGTCTTTCCTATTGCCCAGGGCTTTGACAAGGTAGACTCTCAGCCCAGGAGAATGGACACCAGCCCCATGTGAGGCCAGAAGGGCTGGTCATATAGTAGGCCACATGCCACTAAGCACACACTCAGTGACTGGCCAGCCTCTTTATCATTTGAGCCAGTTAAAGATTTAGTCAACCAAAAGAAAGCCTGGAATGTGTTTCAAATAGCCTTGTGGCATAGAGGGGTATAAAGGAAACGAAGAGTGACCTCCACATTTCTACAGTTTTCTCTACTTTTATGTCTGAAAATTTGCACATCAGAAGGCTGAAGAAGAGGCTGGGCATGGTGGTGTACATCTGTAATCTCAGCTAAGTGTGGTGGTGCACGCCTATAATCCCAGCACTAGGCAGGCTGAGGCAGGAGGATTGCCAGGAGTCTGAGGCCAGCCTGGGCTATACAGTAAATTCAAGGCCAGTCTGAACTGTGTAACAAGACCCCATATCAAAAAAAAGAAAGAAAGAAAAAGAAGCCCAAACCATGGATCTTCAGGGGGTGTTTACAATCTGTATTCTCATTCTTTTTTTTTGGTTTTTCTCCGGTACATGGAACCAAACTCACGACCTTGCGCTTGCCAGGCAGGCGCTTTGCCACTGAGCTAAATCCCCAGCCCTGTAGTCTCATTCTTAATCACCAAGAAAACCAGAAGTAACTCAAATCAGGCCCCAAGATAGGTACCTTTCCCACTTGCCCACGACAAGAGACATATGACAGATGGAGAAAAGTCGTAAGCCAGCTGACCCAACACTTGGAGCACACCTCAAATATGGCCTGTACATTATGGAGTAGGTAAGTTCATTACAGCCACTAACCTAAGGCTTCAAGTGTGGGGGTCCTCACAGGGTCATACCTACTTCAGGTCCTTCAAACCCTCCCTCAGCTTTCTGCCTGCCATACTTACTGAGCCGCAGGGACCCTGCCAGACCCCGGATCACGGTGATAGGGTTTCGAGGGTCTGTACAGAACTGCAGCAGCACCGGAGAGAAGGCATCTCGTTTGCTTTCCAGCTGAGAAACAAACAGGTGAGACCATGGAGTAAGAGCCCTGTCCTGGGCTCCAAGCACTCCATTACCTCCAGTACCATCTTAGAGCCCCACACATACATAGATACTGGGCGTGGGGGGGTTCAGTTTTTCCCGAGGCAGCTTCTCCTCAGTATTGATCTTCGGTTTTACAGACTGGGCAGGAGAAAGGTAGGACTCTCGAAATTTCCCTTTCACCTTGGCATTCCTATGGGAGGACATTGGGATAAAGACAGAAACATCAGGGTGATGGGGGAAGACCATCTCCAGGCTTACTGAGCAGCCTTGGGGATGACAGCTGCCAACTCACTTGCTGGCACGCACGACATCAGCAGCACAGTGGCTGATGGTGAGGTCTGCCATACGCAGTCGACGTTCTTCTACCTCAGAGGCAATAAAGGTCTCCTTGTCACCACTCTCTACCTTGATGAGCCGGATCTTTAGCTCCTTTGGGGGCCCCTCACTAAGTGAGCGTAGCTTCAGCATGTCAGCACGGCTGACGCCCGGAGGCCCAGGAGCTTCCTCTCGAGTCTTCTTCCCAGGGGCTGAAGGGGGTGTGGGCTGGGCAGAGGGGGCAGAAGCTGGTGGAAGGGCAGGAGCTGTAGGTGGCTTGGCCTTGGAGGCCCCACCAAGATCAGGCCGGGCCTTCTCACGACCTTGGATCTCCTTGCTTTGCAGGTCCAGGTTCCCCAGCACCCGGCGGCTTTTTTCTTTGGGGGTCTTGGCCTTTGCCCTTCCTTCTCGGGGCCGCCGACCCACACTGTCTTTACAGGCCCGCCTGTGCCTTCGGTGCTCCTTCTGGTGCTCCTTCTGGCACCTCTTGCCACTGCCTGGCCCTGCTGCCGTCACACCACCACTCTCCTCCTTGACCTGTGCAGGAGGCAGCAGTCGCTCAGCCACACTGTCCAATGGGTCTGCTGTGTCCACTGGGTCTCCTGGATCGATGGCACTCCGGCCCACCCGCTCCACCAGGGTTTCACAAGCCCGACTGATCTCTTCTAGCACCTCAGACTCAGAGCGAGCAGGTGGCAGTGGCAAGGGTGGGGGTGGCTGGGTGGGGGTCGCAGGGCCCGGGGCTGGCTCTTCACCCGCCCTGTGCTCCCGGGCCCAGGGCCCGCCTGAGGTAGAAAACTGAGATGACAAGGAAGCAGAGGGCTGTGGGGAGCCCTGGGCACTAGGGGCCACTGAGGTGGGTGGTGGGGCAGTAGCACCTGATGGGGGGCCAGGGGAATACTGACTGGTGGGCAAGGGCCCAGGCCGGGCGGAAACGGCTGCTCCACTCCCCCGGTAACAGTACTTCTGTCCTTCCAGCACACAGGCCAAGGATTTGAGCAGGCTGGCCGGGCTGGCTGGCGAGGGTGGTACGGGTGGTGTTGGCTGTGACTGGACGGGTGGAGGGAACTTGGCTAGAGGCGGCGGCGGTGGTAGGGCTGGTGGTGGCTTCTTCTCCTCTTCCTGGGTGGTGGCGTTGGCAGTGGCGATGGTGGTGGCAGCAGTGGTGGTAGTAGTGATGGTGGTGGTGGCGTCGGCAGTAGTGGTGGCAGCAGTGGTAGCTGGGGCTGTGTCGCTGGGGAATGGAGGCTGCAGAGATGCAAAGGGTTCCTTCAGCGGGGGTGGGGGGGCCACTCCTGCCTCTTGCTGCTGCTGTTCTTCCTCCTTTCGGATGGATTCATCCAGCATCTTCATGATGTTCGCCAGCCCATCAGGGAGGATCTTAAACTCGGCTGGCTCTTCGAACTGGTCCTCCAGTGGGGTTGGAGGAAAATCAAAGAGTTGTGGGCCTCGGGCAGGCAGTTCCCCAACCCCAGGCGGCACAGGCTGAGGGGCTTTACTCAGGGGGCCTGGGAGTGGCCCTGACTCCACCTCGGGGGTCTTTGGGAAGGAGACCCCGGGCCGTGGGCTCTCCGAGCGCCTGAAGCTTCCTGAGGTATTTTGGTGGCAGGAGGAGGGAGGAACTGGAGGCAGGGCAAGGGTCAAGGGTGCCAGAGGGGGGCCCTGGGGGCTCAGGGTTGGGCTGGGTGGCCGGGGAAGGGGCTCTATACTTCTGGACAGGTAAGGAGGTGGGGAGAAGGGCACAGGCCCAGTAGGGCTGCTGCTGTGGCTGCCGCTGTTGTTGTTGTTCTTGCTGCTGCTGCTGCTGCTGCTGCTGCTGCTGGTGGTTGGGGGAGTGGGAGGCGTGTGCGAATCCTGAGTGCCCACAGAAAAGCGGGGAGCTGGAGGCCCCACGAAGCCCTCACGAGGGGGAAGGGATGGTGGGGGAGGGCGAGGGGGTCCTTCAGCCCCAAAGAAGAGCTCCTCCAAGATCTCTCCATCTTCTCGGGCTCCCCGGCAGGCTGGGCCCTTCAGCCAGGAAGGTGGTGGTGGGGGTCGCAAGAGGCGAGGACAGTGGGGTGGAGGTGGTGAGGGGGGCCCAGGTAGCAGGGGCAGGTGGGGAGCGGCAGTAGGAGCCGCCAAAAACGGTTTCCGACTGCTGTGTGCCAAGGGCCCCAGGCGGCCCTGGTGAGGGGAGACCTCCAGCGCGGGAGTTTGGTAATGGTCAGCACCAGGCTGCAAGTACAAGAGGGGGCAGTCAGAGCACTGCTCCGGCCACCTCAGAAGCTCCACCTCAGGCAAGCCCATCCAAGATCATCACTCACAAGGCCTGGGCTCAACTCCACACCCCGGAGACCGGTGTTACTGCTGCTGCTACTGCTACTGCTGCTGCTGCTGGTGGTGATGCCAGGGAGGCCAGGGGGCCGGGAAGGGGCGTAAGGCACGCAGGCGGTAGTTGCTGCTGGTGAAACACTGGAGTCCATCCGCGACCTCTGAACTCTGCTCTCTCTAAGGTCACTTCCAGGGGGACGGGTGGTAGGCAGGCAGCCATGGCTCTCTGCTCCTGGGGGGCGGGGACCGGGGCCTAGGGGTGCAGCTGGGACCAGCCGGTGGCTGGGGGGATGCATGGTGTAGGCTGGAGCTGGGTATGGATATGGGTGAGGCAGCGAGTGCCGCTGCTCCTATGGAAGATAAATAAAGACACAAGTGAGGAATGCAAAGTGTGAAACTTGCAAGTACAATGTGACACAGTCAACAGATGGGCTTACCTGGCGCTCTGGGGGTCCTGAACCCTTGCGCTCAGGGCCCCAGGTATCTCCATGCAGGGTACTCCACAACCCTGGCTTGGTCAGCTGAAACGGGGGGCTAGCAGGCAGGCCAGAGAGGGGTGGGGGTGGTGGCGGCAGCGGTGGTAATGGTGGTGGAGGCAGTGGCAGCCCAGGGGGAAGGCCAGTCTAAAAGAGAAAAGGGCGTGAGAATCTTAAGTCCTTGTCCCAGACCTGCATACTCTGTCTGTTGGCCCACCTACAATCATACCTGTTCAGAGCTGCAGCCTCTCCTGCGCTTGCCTCCAGGGCTGAGGCCCTCTTCCCCTGAGGGGCCTGAGAGTGCTGCAGGAGGCACAGGCTGCACCACTGGGGGTTCAGCAGCTCGCTTCACTGGAGGACCTCCCCGCTTGGCGCCATAGTTTCGCTTGTGCTGAGGACAAAAGGAGGAGAGCGAATGGCACAGATGCAGGCTTTGCCTGAGCTCTTCCCTCCCCCACCTACTCCCAGACTCACCTCAAGGTGCAGCAAGTTCCACACTTGCTCCAGCGGGGGCAGGACCTTGGCTCGGTGTTGGCAGGAGCCAGCATGAAAGTTCCAGAGCTGGGCCTAAAGGTGGGAGTTAAAAGACAGAAGGAAATACAAGGTGGGGGCCCTGAGCCAGAAGGCAAGGCAGAATCCCAGCCCTTTATGCCCTGCCTCATCCTACCTGCTGCAGCCGGCCAATGCGGGGCCCCAGCTCAGCAAAGCTTCCTCCATACCGAAGAGCGCTATGGTAGCAGCGTATGGCTTCCTCACTGTCATGCTCTGACTCATACAGCTGCCCAAGCTGTTCCCATAGCCCTGGCTGCGCTGGCTCCCGGAGCAACGCCTGTACACAGCCATGCAGGGATTCCAGCTTCCCATGGAGGGGTCTTGGGGTAGGTGTCCTACACAACAGAAAGGGTTCAGGAAGGTCAGGCTTGGAAAAACTTTGTCAAGGCTCCAGCCTTAGCCCTACCTCAGAACCTTCAAATTTTCTACTTACCCTGGAGCATAATATGGTTTGCTGGGGTGCCCAGAGCTACTGCTGTGTGAAGGGGGTAAGGGAGCAGGGATCGGGGGGTGCCCGACGCTGGCTGAGCATCTGAAGAAAGAAAGAGTTTATTACATACAGCAAAAAGGAGCAAGCAGTCTTGTCCCCTAGAAGGAGGGGACTGAGAAAATAAGAACAGCTGAGGGTGGTACTGAGGCCCAGAGAATGGCAAAAACCAGGGATGGTACTGAGGCCCAGAGAATGACACAGAAACAGAAAACGACAGGCAGAAAAGTGCCTACAGAGAGAGGGAAATGTGGCCCAAGGTCTCACCTGCCTCCAGGCAGCCATGCACTACGAGGAGGGGGATGGGGTGGGCAGGAGCTCCAAGCCCCAGAGCAGCTCAGGCCCCCAAGGGCAAAGGCTTCCCGAGCAGCGCGGGCCCCTGGAGGGTCCACTGCCCGATGCATCCAGCCTAGATCAGGAGAAAGAGATAATGCTTTTACTGGGGGCAAAACCAGCATTGTCAGTGTAGGCTCAGCCACCTCATCCCAACCTTTCCCCTTACCAGGTCAGCAGCGGCCCCAGGAGCCCTGGAGATCGAGCACGGCCCCCTACCCCAGCTCCCTGGGAGGATGGTCCGGCTCCAGCCACTCTGACAAGAGTGCCCACTGTCCCCAGATGGCAGCCCCTGACCCTTCACAGCCGATACTAGAGAGAAGAGGAAAAGGAGCACAGTGAGCTGACCAGCAGAGTCAGGGCCCAGAGGCTGGGCTGCGCTGCCCGTGCGTGGCACCTACAGATCTTTCGTTTGTGGAGCTCTTCCATTCTGCCTAAGGAGCCCCGCGAGGAACATGAGAGTAGCTGGAAACTGGGATGAATGGGAGGGAACGTATGGCGGGTGCAAACGGGTGAGAAACCAACAGGACCGACCCAAACGCCGCTGTTGCTTACCCGGCCTGGGTGGGAGCGTCCTCTTGCAGCGTTGGTGAGCTCTAGAGATCTAGCCAATCACAGGACTTTCTCTCTCCCCAGAAAGCCAATCATCACCCGTGTCTCCGCCTCAGTAACAGCCTGGCCGGAACCAATAGGAGCAAGGTTAGCCCGGCAGGCAGAGGCTGAGGGGAGGAGGGGCAACGGAGCCGGTCAGACCGGCTCGGCCCCAGGTGACCCCGACGTGACCTCGGGTTCCCACCTGGGGTCCCCATCGTGGATATGACACCTGTGCTAGCAGGGCAATAGCGGTAAGCAGGCTGGCTGGGCACGACCCGCGCGGTAAAGGCGGTGAGTCTCACTCACCGGCTGGCCTCGGGGGACAGCGCTACTCGCCATCCTAACACACCGACAGAAACGACCACGGTCCTGGCCAGACGGCACGAGTCAACCCCTGCCCAACCACTGAGGAGCCAACCCCGAGTGCTCCTTAGAGCTGTTCGGGGCTAGTCGGGCACAGGGCACAGCGACTCTGGCACCCAAACCCATCAGCGGCACTACGAGAGCGCTCCACCCCCATCGCCTAACACTGTTCCCAAACCACGGTCAAGTCCCCAGTCTCATACCTAATTCTCCACTTCCCTGGCTCTCTGAGTCAGTACCAACAGACGCCCTCCAAACCAGTCCCCCTTTTGATCCCCCAACTTCTGAGAAGTTGCGCACCGCGGTCCCGTGTGTCCCCTCTCGCGTGGCTCCTGTATCCTCTATGCCCTTTGCCCGCCGGAGCCACGCGGTTCCCCACGGCCCACGTGGCCCCCGCCCCCCAAGGGAGGGGGGGATTTCGGGGGTTGCCCGTGACGTGGCTACTTGCGCAGCGGAAGCGCTGTGTATGTGTGTGTGGGGGGGTCCTTATGGAGGGAAGAGGGCGGGGTTCGACAGGCAGTGACATCACCCCTGTCCCACTCTCACCGCCTACTCCCTTAAAGAACCCAGAACGTTTCGTTTCCTTCTTCGTGCCCCCCCTCCCCTTTTCCCGTCGGTGCTGGCTCGACCCACGGCGGACACAGCGCTCCCCTGTCCTGGGCACCTTCTCTTTAGCCCTGGCTAGTCTTTCTGGCCTCTCTCGGGCCAGGAGCTGCGCCCAAGCCTACCCCGAGTCCCCGCAGGTAGGAAGCCGGCTTCGCTCCCAGGATCGGTCCATTGAGAGTCTAGAGTACAAAGAACAGCGAGAGAGGCAAGAGTCGAGTACAAAGCGGCGGGGGCGGGGCCAGCGCTCCAGCTGGAGCGAGCACAGGGCAGGAAGCCGGGGGAGAGCGCGCGGCGAGGGGCTGGGGGCGGCTGGAAAGTTCGCCTTCGCTGAAAAGTGTGCGCTGTGGGGAAATTTCCACCCAACCCACAAGTGCAGAAGGACTTCTGGTGAAAACAGCCCTCCCTCCCGCAGGGGCAATGTCATCTGTTTTCACGGCAGTGCTTGGACCCTACAGGTCCCGACGTGCCACTCCGCCGCGAGTGCCGGTGGACACTTGCGCTTTTCGGGCCGCTCTGTGGTTCACATGGAGTTTCTGTCACAACTCTCTACCTTAGAGGCAGCAGCTTTCGTATATGCCACCAATCCCTAAACAAGTACAACGCTTAACTGGTCAAGTAGAGCCCAGGCTGGCTGCCCGCACCCAAGATCTGCAGGGACCCACGGACCCTGGCAGACTAGGTATCAGAGAAGCAAATCCCCACTAAGGAAGTGGTGCCAGAGGGCAGCCAGTTACCAGGAAATACAGCTTCCCTTCCTGCGTGATGACACTTTCCCTCTGCCACTTCCCCTCTCCCACGGGGAACTGACTCAGCTTTCCCTAAGCTAGTGAGTTCCGTCCCTCTTGCCTCCAGGTCTTCAACCTTTATCCACAAAGCCCCACGCCAGCATCTGGGAATACACTGCCCTCCCTAGAGGGCAAAACTTCCTGTGCACTAAACACACTTACTCTAGGAGCCACCTCTGATCTTAGTCCCCACCCCGGACCCGCACCCCCAGCCCTCACTTGGGGCCTGGCCTGATTCAGGTTTGGGGTGGCGGTGTGTGAGTCAGCCAGAAAACCTTCCCCTATTCCCACTGACTCAGCCCCGCCTCCCTGAACTCAGACACTCAGTCACAGGCAGACACAACTCTTCAGCCCACACACTGCTCACCACCAGTCCCGCGGAATTTCCCCCTCTCCTCTCCCCCACAACGGCTCCTCCCCGGGCGGGATAGCCCCGCCGCCGCCGCCGCCGCCGCCGCCGCCGCCACACGCACACCTGTTCCCTGGCCAGCAGGCGGTGGCTGGCTCGCAGTCGACTCTCACCTCCACTCTCACTACTGGGTAGAAATAGCCCTCTCCGACTCTGGGTGTCCACACGAAGCCAGGGGAGGGGACAACCACGGGCAGGCACAAAGACAAGACACTCACGGACTTCTCGAAGACAGATGGGAGATAGATGCACGCGACCAAAGCCAGGCTGGGAGGGCGACACAGTTCTGGGGCAGACATTCCAGACTCCCCCGACCCGATCCACAATCCCAAGCTAGCCGCTCTGAAAGGGTTAATTCCGCTCCCGCCTAGGACACGCCCTCTCCATCCGGGCACTCCCGGCAAAGCCCAACTCCGCCCCCTCCATCCGGGCTCCAGACTCGCGGACTTTAACCTACCCCCTCCTTCCTGAGCCCCTAGAGAAAACCACTCCATCAATCATACCTACTTAACTCTCTCTGGGCTTGAGGCCGAGAAGCCCCTCCGCGCAGCGCCCCAGCCACGCAGGACGCGTCTAAGAGGCCAGCCGTGCGCACACAAAGTCTCAGGACCGCCAAAGACCAGACCCCGCTCCTGGGGTTTTACCGAGCAAGCACCCGATCGGCTGCACCGGGCCATTTCAGGACCCCCGCGGCAGCCAGCTCCCAGCCTGTCCTCATTTTGCCTGGTGGAAGCCAGGTGCTAAAGGCTCGCTTCTTACCTGGGAGAAGGCGAGGCGGGGGTTGGGGGGGACAGAAGGGCCGCCGGCTGAGACTGCTGTGACTCAGCCACCCGGGCAGGCCGCCCGCCCGGGATTCCCTTCCCCAGCCTTCCCCCGCGGCCGGCCCCTCCCCGCCCCCCACCAAGGAGTGACAGTGCTGGCCTTGGCCCGCTATGTGTCACTGCGGGCCTTGTGTCTGCCTCTGACTGGGCGCTGTGTTCACCAGTCTGTCTGACAAGGTCGGCTGTGTGTGGGCCCGGTTGTCTGTCTCTTGTGTGCACCTGCATATCTGCTCATCTTGTCTCCCTCAGTGCCTGTGTCTGACGCGTTCCTGTCATTATCCCTGTCTACATGACTCCGCGGGGCTGTCTCTGTCTGTGTGTCTGCCTGGCTCCTGTCTCGGTCTTTTGTCTGGGTCTGCCTCTGTATCACTAGGGTGATCACGTGTGTCTCTGCACATGTCTTTCTGTGTTTGCCTTCATGTTCCTGAACAGAGTCAGGGAACAGGCTGACCCGGCTGACTCCTTGCCGCACTCCCTTGAATCCTGGCATCTTTCTGGATCAGTGACCCTTCTCTTTGAGTCAATTACGGGGAAGGGGGCTGCTGTCTTCAATTAAGTTCAGCCCCACTCCTAAACATTCTGGCTTATTCTCAGAGCTCCCATTAGAACAATTGCTAGCACTAAGTGAATACTTGTTACATGCCAGGCACTGTGTTAAACATTTTACAAATTAACTTAATTTTAATTTTACAAATTAACTTCCCCAAATTTGAACGTAACGGGTACTCTGATTACCCCATTTTGCAGATGAGGAAACTACGGCTCTGGGAGGTTAGGTAATTTGCCCAAGTTCATCCTGCAAGTGACTGAAAAAGCTGGGCTTCTTTCCAGAGCCACAACCTTACCACTCTTTTATATTGACTCTGTCCACTTGCACTCCCTTGGTTTTATTCTCACAGACCATCTCCTGGGCCAGCCTTCCTCAGCTCTATCCCGTTACCATCCCAAATTTTTCACGTCCTCTAGACAAGGTATGAATAGGAGGCTGTGCAGCAGATCTCAGAAACTGTGGGTTTCTTGGCAATGAAACTCATACATTTAACACATTCATTCAGCACAAATCCACAGAGGCACCCCAATGTACAAACCGTCATGCCAAACAGAGAGATACATAGATGACAACAGTCCCACTCAAGAAATTCAATGAGTAATAAGGAAGAGCAATGCACACTCAAGGAATTTAAGTTCTTGCCTTAGAGGAAATCTCTTTTCCCTACAAAGGAAAGAGGAACGCAGCAGGGCCTCAGGCAGAGAATTGGCAGAAGGAATGAAGGAAGCAGAAGAGGAGTAAGACTTAAGGTGTGGGGAGCGAATGGGATAGTGCAGCAGGGACAGAAAGGGATCTGGGAGGAAAAATGAGATGGTAAGATTGCCATGGCAATAGTCAGTTTGGCAGTGTTCTATTCTATCTGCCCACATCAGTTTCCAAACAACGTTCGTAAGCCAAGCTACTCAACAACTTATAAGAGCAAAGCCCTCTCCCAGAAGAAATTCCTCCAGGAGTATCTCACATATGCTGTACTTCCAGCTTACAAACCCTAACCCTAATTCAATCAGCAACGGATTTGTAGCAGTGGCGGCGTGGGGTAGAAGTATTTTGGTGGTACCAGAGAAGGTGGTAAGGTATAGAACTAAACCATTCATAGGAGATAGAGAGGAGCACCATAAACCAGGAGGGCTGAACCACTTAAGTACACATGACAGGGGGAGGCTCAGAGTTGGACTGGACCATTCTAAGCAGCAGGCATGATACAGATCATATCAAGCATTTTCAAGCATGGAGGGCACTCAGGGGCCAGACTTACCAGATGGAGCTTGGTGTGCCCTGTCTCATTGGAACCAGCACCCCAGCAGTGGGGTGTAGCAGACCTCAGTAGGGTGGATAGTGCTATCGGCCTGGCATGGTGCCTGGGGGGGGGAACCTAAAAAAAAATAGTAAGTCAGTCAGAGGTGGGTTCTCTCAGGCTACAGTATTTCCTTGTGCTCCCTCCTTCCTCAGTGAGGAGAAATTTGGCTCTGGTGAGATCAGATGAGATGGGAGCACTGGTTTCCATGGTGACCAGTAAAAGTCACCCCCAAAGTGGTCCTCCAACCTTCCCCTTCAGGAAGCAGCCTGGACCAGATGGTAGGGGAGCATGCTATGGCATCTGAGTAAGTCTACAGTGGACAACAAACCATGGGTCCCTCTTCCCCCAGGACCCTCCTGGTGAGATTAGCCCCATCTTCACCCTAGCCAACCTCAGTCCTGGCCCCAGGGCATGCAGACCCTCTTCCTTCAGCTCAGCTGGCTTCAACCAAGAGGTTCCTTACCAACCTTATCAAGACACCAGACAGTCAACTCCACCCTCTGGACTCTGCCCCCTCCCCTTCCCCTAGGCGGGTGCAGGCAGCTCTTGGCCAGCAGCGCAGGTGGCCAGACTAGATGAACGGGCCCAACAGGGAGGAGCCTTCCTCCTATGCAATGACTATCACTCTAGACCCGAGCCTGGACGTGGCCTCTGCTACAAGCCCCCCTCTATCCCACCCTCAAGGCCATATCCTGTTTCCCCATCACCTCCTTCCTCTGTATGGCCCAAGAAGGTGACAGAGGCCCACTCCCTTCCCTCCCAAACCTCAGAGACAAAGAGGTCTTTTAAGTTCAGGGCAAACAATCAGGTGTCCATGCAGGGGTCAGTCCTCAATCAAACCTAACCTCAGGCTCATTCCTCAGGGACCTATGTTTTCTATGCCCCTAAGCCATGGTTCTCAGCCCGTGGACCAGACGCTGGCTCCCAGTCCAGTCTCTCCATTCCCTGCTCTTCCAGCCCCCATCCTTTTCCCTGCCCCAGAGACTAAGGCCTCTGGCCCCCAGCCTCCATGATGCAATGTGCTGCAAGCTTCTGTGGCTGCTGATGACACTGCCCCCAGGGAAGTGTTATTTGTTACACACGCAAAGCCCCTCACCAGGGCAGTGGTCAGCTGCAGGCTGGGAAAGCCAGACAGGCAAGGCCCTTCTGCTGCAGAGGAGTTCTTGAGGCTGCAGCCTTTCCAGAGAGGGAGGTTCAGAGCATAGAACTAGGGAGCAGGAGGTGTATTCATGTAGTTGATAGTATTTGTGTTGTGGTTGTATTGGAGGACAGAAGTTCTGGGGAAGGCCTTGCTTAGAAAGAGGGGAGTCCGGAGGCCTCAGGATGGACCAAGAGAAGTGAGGGGGCACAGCCAAGGTGGTGGGGTAGGTGAGGGGTGTCTGGATACCAGAGTGGGGGAGGGGCCAACAGCCATTTAAAAGGCCAACTCCAGAGCTCTAATCCCTCACCAGCCCTGGCCCCAAGTAGGAGGCTGTAATTCATCTGTCCAACAGCTGGGGTGGGTGTGTGACTGGGGGGGCATGTGGATAGGAAAGGGGAGCTGGGGGAGGGGCCAGGGCCTTCTTATGCACAGAGCCAAACAACAAAAGAGGAAGCTGAAGGGCCAGCTCCCCAGGGCCCAGGCCAGGCTGCTGACCCGCAGGTGGCCCCCACCTGGTGGCCAAGACTCCCTAGTTTTGACTCAAAAATTCTTGGCCAAGAAGTCAATGGATCCAAAGGTGGCATCCTGGAGAAAGCCCAGGCTGAGCAAGCCCCAGGTGGGCTGTCACTCCTCCTCCCACCTCCCCAGCTGCAGCACAGTCCCAGACCAGGCAGGCCCTACAACAGACAGCCTCAAACGCCCTGCTCACCAGCCAAACCTCCTCAGACACGGCCTGCCGGCTCCCCCTCCCGCCTGCTCAAAGTGGCAGCGGCCACACTAAGGCTGTCCCTTTAAATCATTACCACCTCTGATTGTGTGGACGAACCAAGGGCCCTGCCCCCGGGCAGGCAGCTTGCCACCTCCCCCACCACGAGTCCCCAGAAATGTAAGGGACGTTTAAAGGGACAACAGAGAGGCAGCTGGGTCTCTAACCGCCCCCCCCCTCACACACACTCACAGCACCCTTCCCCAGGAACACACAGCCCCCTGCCCCTCCAGAGGGCCCCCCAAATTCCGGCTCTATCCACACCCCTAGAGACTGCTAAAAGGAAAAAGGGGGCTAGAGGTGGGGGAGCGGGGAGCTGGGGAAGGGAGGCAGAACAGGGTCTCCCTCCTCCCGCAGAGCCCCAGGGGACAAGCCAGAGGGAAGGAAGAGCCCAGAAAACAGCGAGACAGAGCCCCGAAAGGTGCCCCGGGCAGACCTGGGGCGCACAGGCTACGGGGCGAGGGGAAGAGTCAAGCTGCACGAGACGGCGGGTGGCGCGGCCAGCGGGCGACAAGCCCAAGTGGGGGCAGTGGAACAAGGAGGACTCGGAAAGAGGCGAGACCGAGAAAATCGGGGAGACGTAAAGGGGGAAAGGGGTCATCCGGGAGGGTGTGGAGGAAAATCGGAGAGGGGAGGGCAAGCCAGGCTGGGGTTACCTGCTGGGTGTCTGTCCCCCGGCG